CCATCCTACATTCCTTTTTCCATCTAACTGTACATCCACCCTTCCATCCTTCTATGGATCCATTAAACCAGCGGTCCCCAACCCGTGGGCCATGGACCGGTACCGGGCCATGAGTCGTTTGGTACCGGGTTGTGAGAGTTGAGGCTCAGGTGTGAAATTTATGGTTTTCAGGGTTTTTAATCTTTTTTTTTTTTTTTTAATCATTTTTATAGTCAACTCTGTTTCCCTGGGCCTTTTTCCGTGTGTTATGAATAAATCTTCTTTTTTTTGGTACCACTACTGGTTTTATTTTGTTGTATTTATCTGCGACACCTTAAAGGCCAGTCTGTGAAAATATTGTCAGGCATAAACCTATCCGTGGTGCAAAAAAGGTTGAGGACCGCTGCATTAAACTATTCAAAATGTGTCCAACCATCCATTGCATTACCCCATTGTTTCTTTTAACCGCCATCCTCCATTTACCCATTTGCCCTTAGCACAATTTTAAAATCTATGAACCTTCCATTCCTCCTTTAAATCCTTCTAAATTTTAATTGTTTTATCCAGCCTACCATTTATCTCTCAGTGACTCAGCCAAACTTTTACCCATTCTACCATATTTATATCTGTGAATCGTCATCTTTTTTTAAACCATCCAAAATTTATCAGCTTCTATTCTGTGCAGATCCTAAGACTTATCTCTCAATGACCCATCAGTCCCTTAAACTATCTTATCCTAAATTCATGCTCATCCTACTATTATCTATCCACCCTTATTAGCCATCCTACCATTTACTTAAAACCTTTCATCAGTCCTTTATAAATTTATTCAACCCTCAATAATTCTATAACAGAGCCTACAATTTATCTCTCAGAGATCCAACCATCCTTTTGATACATCCTACATTATCTTACCTTTATCTATCTTTTCTATCTTTTATCCTAAAGTCATCCATCCATCCTTTTACCCATCATGCAGTGCATTTCTAAATGTGTAAATCCATCCATCTGTTAAACTCAAATGAATTCTTCCAACCATCTATTATTCTTTTGTCTACACTACTAAGTCTCTCAATTACCAGTTCAGTTTTTCCCCATCTTAAATTAATTTTCCATCCAACTGTCCATCTGTCACACACCCTTACATCCATCCACACACACAGACTTTTTATTTACCCAGTCATTTGTTTATGTATCCAGTCAATCACTTACTCAACCCTTCATCCATGACTGAGTTTTTAAATTAAGCTCAAACGAAGAAACCACCTTTTCTCTCTTCTTATCTGTAGATGGGTCCCTCCAAAATGCTGCTCTGATAGTGAAGGTATGATAACCTGCTATTAAATCTGGAACTTGGATCAAATGATCGGGAGGAAAGCACCTCTCCCTGCATGCTGATGGCCTGTTCTGTCCCAACAGTTCATCACTCTGAAGTCAGTGGCACAACCACATGGCTTCAGCTAACTGTCAGGGTAGTGACCCCTGAAACCGCCTACCATTAATCACAGTTAGACAGCACATAGGGAGCCACAGTGGGCAAGAAATGAAGGTTGCTGGAGGTCAATCTGGCAGACAGCATCATTTCAAATTATCGGTTATTGCTGTATATTGGACTGTATATAAAAGATGAACATAGACCCTGAGTCTAAACCAAGATGACAGTCTAGAAGTGCCTGAAACCTGCATTATTTCTCCTGACCAGCTGGAGCAGAAAGAAACCAAAACAAAAGATAATGGTTATAGAAAGTTAGCCTACTTATTGTTTGATTTATCTCTTCAGTAAAAATTGTGCTAGTAATTTTATGGTCTCTGTCACTAGTTTTAAATCACTTGCACATTGCTACTGACAAACCTCAATCTTCAAAACAGTATTCCACAAATCAGTGTGTGAAATCACAGTGACTTTGTACTTCTTTTTCAAGGCTAAAAGATAAGGTTATTTACAGTGGTATTTACAAGTCTTACCAAATCAAATACACAGCTAGGCATGTAAGTAAACATTTTAAATTACTTTAATTAATGAAACCGCTTAAGAAAACTGCAGTTCCCCAAATGGCCACTTGAGGCCGACTACAAAACAGAGTGAATTTCCACTGACTCCCATGTTAAAATGCACAACTTTACAGTATAAATAAACAATTAATTTTCTATTCATGACAACTGCGTATATTACTATAACTTGTATGACTGTTCATGGCCAAAAAGGCCCAGAACCTGGTTACTGACTGAGTAGTCGGCATGGAAGATGCTGACTTCTCTCCAAACATTTGCCATTTACTTTCTGAGTTCCAGTGAAATCTGAAGCAGTCTGATGCAAACTGGAAATGCAGCATATTTTCCTTCAAGGTAAAAGCTTTGGGTTTTCAAAAGGTTTTGGTTTTGGTAGTAGCTAGGTGGTTAGTTGGCGAGCGTTCAGGGAGGAGTTGGCATCTCCATGCAAACTACAGGTGACCAGACAATCTGCTAGTGACTAAAGCAATCACACATTTGTAATGTCACTTTTGTTTCACCCACTAACAGCCAGAAACAACTCAACAACTGGCCACACAATACAGATTTTTCCCTAGTAACTTGGTAACCAAACTAGCTAGCCAGTGCTAGTCTTGACTAATAACTGACCAGGTCAACCATCTCATCTAAATTGTGTTTAATGGGGAATAAATCCAATCTTGCCACTTGTCACTGTAGGTGACGCTGTTTTTGCAGTATGATTTGAAATGTCTTAGACACAGTTACAGTTTTACATTAATACAATAAGAATAATGGCTTAATCGTTTAATCCAGGGATTTCTAACTCATTTTACATCGAGTGTAAAGAAGGAGGATTTGGACCCAAACACAAGCATGGACAACAGCGTAGCTGTGAGAAAGTTTATTAACAATGAAAGGCAAAATATAAACCAAAGCAGAGCACTGCAGGGAACTACGCTAACAAAAACCTAAACAGGGAACAGCTACAAAATAATAATGAAAGGATTAAAAACCTGCAACGAGAAACCTGAAATATGAAAACCTGAGACGTGGAACATGGAGAAAGACACAACAGAAATACAGGGGTAGACACGCAGATGAACCAGCCACCAACAGAGGGAAACGCAAGGCTTAAATACACAAGGGACGAGGGAACGAGACACAGAAGGGGAACACAGCTGGGAGAAATAAGACCTAACGAGACAGGGGGAGCGAAGCTAGAAACACTGACATAACCCTTCAAGATAAAACAGGAAACAATTCACAAGGACGCAGAATAAGAAACACAGACTTTACACAGAGGGAACACACAGGCAGAGAAGACTAAGCACAGAACTAAACCTAAACTAAACATGAGGGCATAAGAACAACACCTAAGAACTAAACCCTAAAACAGAATAAACTGAAACATAGAATTCTAATAATAATCAACAAGGCACAACAGTCAGAATATACACAAAATACAAAATTAAACCAAAACACGAGAACTCAAAATACTGGGTCAAAATGACCCAGAACCGTGACAGCTGTAGTAAATAAAAGGAGAAATAAATGTATAAAAGTACGAAAAAAGTTCTGTAAGCTTTTTTACCAAACTGTCGTATATTATAAAGCACAAAGTTCTTGTTATTCACATTGGGGTTTGTTTCTTTTTTCCTTTTTTAACTTTTCTTTTTAAACTGTGGGTCTATAATGTGGAAAAAAAACCCACAAAAAACGAAATTTATATAGTTATAGTGAAAAAACAGAACCTTTCAGTAGTATAAGTGATATATTTTTGGTAGTCAAAGAATTTGACACATTTATTTGAAGCAATGCCACTAACCCAAAAACAAATGTGTTCATACATTTTGTTGTCAGCATAAAAACACTGATTACAGCCACTGTTTAACACTAAATCCACCACATGAAATTTATCCTAAAAGATTAAAATGTGCGGCACAAACAGCAAAGTAATACTTTAAAATTAGTAACTATTAGAGATGGCACGATACCACTTTTTTATGTCCGATACCGATACCGATATCATAAATTTGGATATCTGCCGATACCGATATGAATCTGATATAGTGTTTTTTAATCAACAAAACTGTTGACAACAAAACCACCCCTCACGCTCCACCTCATGATGCTTAATCGACGTAATCAACCTTAATTTGATGCAGTGTGAAAAAAAATGCACAGAAATCAATTATTTTTCAAGAAATATTAAATAGATTCAACATCTTTCTTCAACAAAATTGCGGACTGCACAGATGGTACCTTCCCAAAGGAAAAAGTACTATAGCTTACTAGGGTATATATATTACCGTAGACTTAATAGTTACTATATACAGTAATGGACTTCTATTCCTTTTACATCAAATTAAAACTTTGGGTGTAAGATTCAGATAATTATTTATTAAAAGCTAGACATTTTAAATGAGAATAAAGAAATTTGTGTCTTTGTGCCCCTTTTCCCTGTTCATGCCCTATCGGCCCCCCTGGCTAAACTTTGCTAGATCCGCCCCTGCAGTTACAGCCGTCAGCTGCGTAGAAAAAGATCCTGGTGTAGAAAGAAATATTAAATAAATTCTAACAACAGCTTATCAAGCTTAAACGTGCTGCTGCTGTTCAGCCGCTGGTTTCCTCTTTCTGGTGCAAAGTGGACCAAAAACAAAGAAGAGAGACGGACTCGCGACAGAAAAGCCGATCAGCTGATCGTTAAGCAGTTTCATGATTGAAGTAGCAGCAAGAGGAGGCAGTCGCTCCATATATCGCTTGTTAAGCTTAACGCAGGAATGCTTTACAAACATTCAGAAATGGACTTACACACTTGCTTTACTTCTCTCGGGATAACTTTGTCGGAGATGAAATGCCGGGTTGCTAGCGAAGCTCCACATGCTATCCAGACCACCGACAGGTCCTGCATGCCACAGCCGCTCTATCACGTGATGCCTACTGCTCCGACGTGTTAACGTTCTGAGGCGAGTTACGGCGCGTTGCAAGTTTTGTGAGGTGCTTTCGTGATATTTAATGGATCGGATTACATTTTTTATTTTTCTCCGATATCCGATCCAGTCATTTAGGTCAGTATCGGACCGATACCGATACGTAATATCGGATCGGTCCATCTCTAGTAACTATTGGATAGTTAGCTGGGCGTGTTTGAACTAAAACACTTTTTTGAGCATATGAATGAATTCCTTCACATTTAACTTTACTAAATGCGCTGAATCAAAAGTACTACCGCCATAGTCACCACTGTCCAGCAGCTGTCAGACAGTAGTTGGTCTTTAATATATATAATATCCATAACTTACATACGTATATATATTTTTTTGCATAATCAATATTCAGTTGTTCAGATAATAAACTAAATGAGGAACACTGTGTGTCTTACATTTCCTTTAAACACACGTCCTGCTAAGAGAACTTCACCTCTGAGCCAGTGGGAGTTTAATCTCTGTGAAAACACTGAATTCTTAGCCGCATTAAGCAGAGCTCTCAGAAAGGTTAGACTAAATGCAATAAACTGGTATTAGAAGCGTGTGACCCGCTTAGTGCAGGACTCACACAGGGAAATACTCAGCGCTGTTCCAGCCACGAGAAACCAGAATTCTGCACTATTTTTCATGTTTTCAAGAAATAAAGTTTCTTCTGGCAGCAACCTTTCAGACTTTGCTTAATCTTCAATTGACCTAAAAAGAAAAAGTTTTGAATTTCTGTGTTTTTGCCTTTACCTTGAAATATTTGAAAGAAAAGACATAAACAAAAGTGATAAATGTTAAAATAGCTGCAAGAAGAAAACAATAATAATAAATAACTAGAAAGTCCCAAGTTCTTTAACTCAAACACAGATTTTACAGCTGGACAGGTTTCATAGATTTCTAATAGATCCATTGCCAAGGTAAAGCTGCTAAAGGTCACTGTGTAGCAATATGTTAGACAGTATCAACAGATAATCATACAGTCTCTGAAGGAGCATCATGTTGCACCTTAGTGGAGCTGAATGTTACTGCTGTAGCTTCTTGTGTTGAGCCTCTACCTCCATCTAGTGGATGACATAACAGAGCACAGTGACTCACTTTAATAGGTCTGGATTCAGTGACACTCATTTAAATATTTCTAAACAACATAATTACTTTTCTTAGCTCCGTGTAATCAGCAATGATCACAAAAATATTAAATATGAAGATGTAAATATTAGGGAAGGTCACATATTTACATTATTTTTCAATGTATTTCTTCAAAAATGCATCTATAACTACACAAATATGTGGCTTGAGGAATTTTGTCACTGTTAGATTGTATTATATGATGATTTTTTTAGCCATTATAGAGATTCACACTTGAAGATTAAACAAAAAGGGGAATATTTAAATTGTTCGTAACCGAGCTAGCTATACTAGTAACCTAGTGAAGTGCAGTTGATTCTCTTTTCCTATATCTTCATTAATCCTCCTTCATGGCTTTCTTTGACCTTATGACATTTTCCATTCAGATGAAGGTAAAGAGTCCACATTGTGTGGATTATCCAACAGCAGTCTGTGCATTATGAATCCAGGTTGCTGGAGTTAGCAAATAACTTCAGCACTTTGACCTCTTGTAGATAAGTATGCTCACTTCTTGCTCCAAAAACAAAAAAGTGGTTCCGATGTATCTTTTATACAGTCTATGGCTTAAGCATCATACGTATTTAACTTCATCTCCACCAGGAAGCCATCCTCTTCATCCAAAGCTATGCTGCTCTGGACCACCTGCAGTATGTTTGCCACCTTCACAAGACCTAAAGAAGCTTCAACTCTTCTTTGAAGCCTTTCCACACAGTTTAGGAGTGTTTATGGGAATTTCTCACTGTTCTTCTAGAAGTGCATTTATGAGGTCAGACATTGATGCTGGACAGAAGACCTGGCTCGCAGTCTCCACTGTAACTCAGCCCAAAGGTGTTCAAAGGTGTCAGCTTGAGGTAGAACTCTGTGCAGGCCAGTCAAGTTCTTCCCCACCAAACTCGCTCATCTATGTCTTTATGGACCTCGCTTTGTGCATCGATCTGCAGTCATGGTAGAGGAGGAAGGGGCGATCCCCAGACTGTTCCAGAAAGTTAGGAAAATTAAATTGTCTAAAATGAGTTGGAGCTAAGGGGCCGAGCCCAACTCCTGAAAAACAGCCCCACAACATAATCACCCCTCCACCAAACTTTACACTTGGCACAATGCAGTTAGACATGTACGGTCTCCTGGCAACGACCGAACCCAGACATGTCCATCAGATTGTCAGATGGAGAGGCGTGATTTGTTACTCCAAAGAACACATCTCCATTGCCCTACAGTCCAGTGGCAGCGTGGTTTACTCCACTGCAACCACTTTATCCAACGCTTTGCATTTGGTTTTGGTGATGGAACGCTTGGATCACTTCCACTTATTATAATACCACTAACAGTGGACTGTGAGGAAAATTTCACAACAGCACAAAAAACTGAAACTAAAAAACTGAAGTGTAACTATTATTGAGTTAAAAGCCACCAAATGTCAAGACTCCCCCTCAGGCGTGTATCTTCCTGATAGTTTTTTTATAAGGTTTCAGGCACAATGAAGAAGTGCTAATTCGCTTCAGTTATCTGCTTTCTTTATTTTCCCCATTTTCCCTATTTACTTCCTCCTTTGTTTAATGACAAAGGAAATTACCAACATGTAAGTAATTCGTGTAATTCCAGTAAAACCGATCGAGTGAAAAAAAAATATTAAACTGAGAGCGAGCTCTGCTTTAAAAGGAAACTTAGAGTCAGCAGCTGCTAATGAAGACGTACCACTCGTTAAAAAATGTTTAACTTTGAAGAAGTTAATTTGAACAAAGTGGGTACTTTAATGATTCTCTGTAGGCAGACAGAAATCAAATTGCTTCATTTGTGAATATAAGCTTTCATTTAATTATACAGTAAAAGTATTTTCACCAAAATCGTCATGCCCAAGTTTAAGAGTTAACTTTAACCCCACCAACCTTTGTTAGGTTCTCTAACACAGTCCTTCTGGTGAAGCATCTGTGTCGTCAATCAGTGATGAAACTTGGACTTGATCTCTCATTTACCTGCTCTCTTCTGTTTAGGTTGTTTGCCACTTCGATACCGTCAAACTCTCCTCATTCTCACTTTTATCGTTACTACTCTGATCAGGTGACCTTTGTGCCAACTGTCTCTGAGCTGGTCAGTCATTGCAATTCTTTCCTTCGTCCTTTTCGGAACATCATCTCAAGAACATGTCCTAGATTATCATCCTTTCTAACTCTAATAATGACCGTATTTAACAGAAGTAGGTTCATGCTTTATTCAGTATGACCTGAAACTATTAAACTCCTATTAAACTGGATGGCTTCCTACAACCAGAGGAGTTGCCCCCTGCTGGCCATTAGAAAGAGTTTAAACCAATAACCAGTACAAGAAGTGACCTCACAGAGTGTTTTAGATTTTCACTGCAGTTTTTCCAGTCTGCCCCTGTCCTGCCTCCTGCAGGTGAACCTTCTGATGGGTCCTGAACACGCTGTTGGTTATGAAAGTTTTCCCACAGACGACGCAGTGATATGGCCGTTCTCCCGCGTGCACCTGCCTGTGCAGCTTCAGGCTGTAGAGCTGCGTGAACTTCCTGCCACAGATGCTGCAGCTGTGCATCTTTTCCTCTGAGTGCGTCATCATGTGCATCTTCAGATTGCTCGGGTTGCTGAATCTCTTGTCGCACTGATCGCAGGCGTACGGCCTTTCCCCCGTGTGCACACTCGTGTGATACTTGAGATTGACCATGCAGCGGAATTTCTTGCCGCACACGTTGCAGACGGGCTTCTCTCCTGGTTTCTTGCCCGTGTGGATCCTCATGTGGTTCTGAAGTGCACTGGCGTGTCCACAGCGTTTGCCGCAGGTCTCGCAGACGTATGGCCTCTCGCCCATGTGGATCAGCATGTGATGCTTCAGGGCGCTCCTGTGACTGCATCCTTTGCCACACACCTCGCAGGTGAAAAGCTTTTCTCCGGCGTTTTTGCTTGTGTCACTGAAACTGAGGCTGAGCACCTCGCAGTTTTCCTTTTGTGTGTGGGTAACTCGGTGAGCGGCCAAAGATGCGGACGAGAAGAAGGTCTTGCCGCACATTTTGCAGACAAAATCTCTGTTTCCTGAATGAAGATTCTCATGATCGTCCAAGCTCTGCCTGCACTCGAAGGTCTCTGGGCAAAGTGAGCAAACAAATGTCTTCTTCAACGCGCAACAAATGTGTCGCTGAAACGCCTGTTTCCCCGTGAACTGCTCCTCGCACAGCGAGCACGTGTGGGTGATCAGTTTGTTTAGGTTGTGCTGACGCATGTGCCTGTGGAAGGTTGATTTGTACGCAAATTCCGTTCCGCACTTTCTCGGTGTGCTTTCTCGAATGTGCAATGAGCCCACGGAGTCCAGCAAAGCGCTTGCCGCACTCAGAGCAAAGGTGAGGCTTGGAGTGAGTCAGGCAGTGTCTGTTCATCAAACACTTCAGAGCAAATGCTTTGCCACATGTAGGACATGTGAAGTCCTTGGTGGGCTGCTTCCTTCCGATTTTCACAGCAGTGCATTCATGCTCAGCGTCTTTTTGGACGCCATTTTCCTCAATGACACTGGAGGCTGGTTCAGGATCTGCTATTGTGACTTCAGGTTCAGAGAGGACTTCAGAGCTATTTTCCTCATGTGATGCTGGATCAGCTGAAACAAAAACAACACTAGAACTAACAAGAGAGTAACACCAACCTATCCATTTCAAAGACTTTAATGCCACACTGCAAACATGCTACTTTAGTAATACTGCTGTTATAAAAAGTCAAACTCCTAAACAGAGGATCCCACTGTGTTTAAATGTATAACCTGATTCATTTATCTGGACACTGCAGCTAGTTTTGCTATTACAGTTGTGTGCTACACATATGTTAGATCGCAGTTACATCATGATTATGTGCTTAAAGTTCTGATAATGCTTGCATTTTTATAACGTAAATATTGGAAAAATAAAGCCATAATTACTGCACAGTCCTGTTTTCAGGGACTCAAATACAAAGTCATAATTCAGTCAGTTGTTTTACGGTCAAGCATGAGCAGTTCTTCATTAAAGCTTCATAAATAAAGAAGGTAAATGAAAGTATGAATATCAAAAATCATACGCCAGATTCAGCTGAGCACAGCAAAACTAACTGGATATTGCTTCACAAAGCAGATGGAAAATAGCCCAAAACATTGTGAGAACAAGACGGAACCTATTGAAATGTAAAGATGCGGAATATTTTGCAGTGGCTAAGTGATTCAACCTTCTCTGAGCCCAGTGGCTTTTTCCACTTGCTGAAAACTAAAGAGCAGAAAAAAAACACCAACGACTGACACCTGAAGACTGCTCAAGTAGAGGCCTGATAAAGCCTCGCAAAGGAGGAAACTCATTATCTGATGATGTCCGAGGGCTCCAGATTTCAGGATTGTCCACAAAATATTAAAAATGTACATTTTTAAAATTATTTTATATTCTTTTAATTTTATTTGAGCCCTAAAATAGTAAAGAGTGTATAAAAACAGCTGCAGTAACTTGTAAAGAAAACATAGTTACCAGGTTCTGGCACAGATTCTGGGTCAGCTTCATCTGTTGACTGTTCGATCTGTTCCTCCTCTGAAAACACACAAAAAATTCCAAACTGTTTTCAAAATTTAATTTAGAAAAAGTGTTGTTTTTTTTTTATTGGTTACTGGCTGAATACCTCTACAGTATAAGTGATCACTCATCTGTCTTGTTGCTGGTTGCGATCCTTGCATGTTATTTCTCTTTCTGGACACAGATTCTGTTTTTACACAACAAAAGTTAAAAGCCTAGTTTAATATACAAAGAAATCCCAGAGTGAGAACATTAAAAGCCTCATAAACCATCAGCTTATTTACTTTTTCTGCCCCCAGTATCGATCTGCCCTGCTCTGGGTTTCTCTGCAGCAGGAGCATCTCTGGCGTCACTCATGGACACACTGAAAATTAAGGAGATTTTCTCCACAGCAACTTCAGCCCACTTTTTCATCAGGGAAGCAAACTGGTTCTGTACAATCACAGGAAAGACAGAATGATATTGCAAATGTATAGTCAGCCAATCACATAACAGTATTGCATTAAAGTTAGGGATTTAGATATGATGAATACGATCTGCTGAAGTTCAAACAGATCAGCAGAATTAGGAAGAAAGGTGATTTAAGCAGAGCTGCAAGGTTGTTGGTGCCACACAGGCTGGCCTGAGTACTTAAGAAAATGCTAATCTACTGGGGTTTTGCACATGACCATCTCTAGGAGGATGGGCAGGATAGGATGGTAACCGTTGCTCAAATAACCACTTTTTACAACTAATGTGTGCAGAAGAGCATCTCTGAGCATGAGTTCACTGTACTGTCAGTACACTGTCAGTGCGCCCCAGGGTGGCTGTGGCTACAATGTAGCTTGCCATCACCAGTGTGTGAATGTGTGTGTGTGAATGGGTGGATGACTGGGTATGTAAAGCGCTTTGGGGTCCTTAGGGACTAGTAAAGCGCTATATAAATACAGGCCATTTACCATTTACTCAAATGGCCTCAACATTCACCACCTCTCAATCCAATCGAGAACCTTTGTAAGGTGGTGGAATGGGAGACATGCGAGTCTCCCATTCCACCACCTTCCAAAGGTTGTGCCATCATGATGTGCCATCATGTTACCACGGACCAAAAACTCTAAGGGATTTTTCCAGCAACTTCATGAAGCTATGAGATGAGGAATTAAGATATTTCTACAGGGAAAATGGGTTACAACCCACTATTAGTAAGCTGTAACTAATAAATTGTCCATGGAGTGAACATGAGCTTGTAGTTCGTTGTAGTTTAACAAAATGTGCAGCAAAGTTTCATTCATTCATCTGCCCTGACAGGCTGAAGAAGCTAACTCATGATTAGCTTCTAAGATGGGATTTCGGTTGGAGTGGTCGCCATGGAAACAAACGATTGGACTTTTGGGTGACGTAGTGCTCATTTGTGCCACTTATACGGTATACATTTTAGGACACCGTACACTTAAGCTAAGAAGGGTAAGTGGAACTAGTGGAAAGTAAATTTCCTGTCATCAGTGAAACCGCACACATTTCCCGTGCGCGCGTGACCGCGGGGTTACCGTGACATCCTCGTGAAGGAGTTGCCTGCGTAGCGTCACCTCCCTCTCCTCATCCTCGCGCTTCACGGCGACTACGGAAGCCGCATTTGAGCGCTGCTGAGCGGCCACAACCGGAGCCGAGCTCCTCTCCAGAAGTCTCCCGAGCTCTGTCACGGCCGCCTCCACCAGAGTCTCCATCACAGACGACAACTGACTCTCAAATGTTTCCAGCCTGAACATGTCTGACTGTGATTTTGTTTGTAGTACTCATAAAACCAGACATCCTCTGCTGCTGAAGTTCAGCAGCTCATGTTTGTTTCCTCTCTTTACTTCTTCGACTGATTTCCCAGAGACAGTAAATGTATTTCGCTGCTGCCCTCTATGGGCCACAAAGCGGTACTACTTCTTTACAGACTAGATTTTTGTGTTAAACTGGTCGAGCCTCTAAATACTAAGAAAAGGTGTTTCATTACCTCGTTTTGCAGAGGATATACTGGCTCATGCTTTATAAAACGAACAAAATAACATCATCCCAATCCAAACAGACAAACAGCAAAACTGACAAAACAAGTAGGTCATGTGTCTTTAAATTTCCCAGATTAGACCAGAATCCATAAGTCTATAAACCTAACACTATGCAGTTGTGCAAAATCTGTTTATAAAGTTATGTACAAAAATGAAAAACAACCTTAATTTTAAATGTGCTTACACAAGTACAAAGTGAAATTTTACATTTAATAGAATCTGGTCATAAAGGGCATAAACCATAAATGACTTTGCACTGTTTAAGACACCTTCACCTGATTTAGCTGGGGACTGTTTCCAGAAAAGCCATGAAAAGATACAAGGTGTTTGTTTTTTCACCATTTGACCAAACCTTCCCACCAGACTAAGTGTGGTACACATTACAAATGTACCTCTGATGGGGAAATATGTTTTTAAATGACATTTTCCCCTCCAAATCCAGGAAGTATAGACAAGAAATCAGATCTTCAAAAATGGAAAAAAAAATAGCCTTAATACTTTAAAACATGCTGTTTTATGGATGTTCGTGGCTTCATTTGTTGAGGTACTTCACAGGTCTTCCAACTGAAATTTCCGCTGTCGTGAAGCAATCGGCAGGTCCTCCATCGCTCCATCATGACCTTCCAGCAGCTTTTAAAATTGTCATTTTGTGACTTGTACAGGAAAAATGTCTTGTTTGTGACCCAAAATGCAGACAGAGGGCTGGCAGGTAGAAGAATAAAGATATTTGTTGGCACTTACTGATGACCAAAAGTTGCTGTACTCACAGCCCCCCCACACACACACACACACACACAATGTATGAGGGCATTAGAGGGACAGGCCAGACTTCGGGTGGGAACAAGGCACAGGTAGAGAAAATCTGGCAAATTGCAGACATGGGAAAAGAAAAGTCGTTAAAAGGAAATTGACTCCTTTCAGGAAAAGGGTAAACACCAAAATGTCAAACTGAAGATTTGGAAAAACAAACACTTCCAATTCTTTGTGGATAAATTTGCTCATCTGGCATTAAGATGATGCCCGCTGACTAAACTCTCGTTCCTGCTGAACTGAGCCAGTGTATTTGATCAAACTGCTGTCAGCTCAGAAAGCACGAGGGGGAGGCCAGATGTTTTCTCAGGGGATCGTGAAGATGGTAAAGAGACTCCACATGTGACCCCTGATAGTCACAAGGTGAAATTCTACATAATGAACAAAACATGGCAGGAGTGTAATGTCCTCATAAAACAGTCTTCAATAGAGCCAGTCGCCAAGTTAAAAAAAAAATGCCGATCGTCTCTGTATGAGTGACGAACTTAGCCACTGTGAACAAATATTCAAGACTCCCTGGTCAGCAGTCAACTAAGTTCTGCACCCAATCAGACACTGTACACATGACACAGCTAGCACCAATCCACTGACCGTGCCTCGGATAAGCTCTTTCAGACTGGTTGCTTGAAGAACCTCCAGTACACAGGTAAGCGTTGCCCTCCAGGAACAGTCGGAGACTCCGTAGCAGTGCAGTAATCTCTGGCAATGTGATTTCAACTTTGTGGCCCAAATCATCTTGCCAGAGACACACACAGCCACAGAAAATCAGTCGTTTCTCCGGAGAAATCCCCCACTGCTCTGCCTCCCTGTGTGGTTAGTAGTCTTTCTCCTGATACTCCAGTCCACCTTCCCCTGACAGGCTTCCATGCTCTATTTAACTTGGGGCATTTCCCTGATTAACAGTGACTCCAGAGGCCTGAGGAATTCCTAACATGACAGTGTGTTCCTCTGACAGTAACCGATTGCCCCTTTGTGTCTTAAGGTGAGCAGGTGTGAGGGCTTTGGTGGCACATTAATCCGATGGTTTGGGTATCCTCCCCCAGGAAAAGACAAGTGTCAGCCTCAATTTTTCCTGGTGGATTTAGTGGGTTTTCTGCAACATTCATGATGGAAATTCCTGCCTTCAAGTAAAGAAATCAGTCTCTAGTGACCGATTTGCTCCTTTTATATATTACTAGAGGGACAAAGGCACAGTCTAAATATTAGGGATAGCATGTCCCCTGCATTCAACCTGAAGTCAGGAGGTGCAACTCTTTTGTTCACCATGTCTACACAGCAAGAATTTTTCTGTATTTTTCAGATCATAAGGTGCACCGTCGATGAATGGGTCTGTTTTCATACACAAGGTGTCACGGTTCTGGGTCATTTTGAACCAGCTTTTTCGGTTTCTTGTATTTTGGTGTTTTTCTAGATTATGTTCATTATATTTATGTTCTGATTCTTTAGCTATCCTGTGTTGATTATTTTAATTATTCTGGTTTAGGTTTTGTTCTCTTGCCCTCATGTTTAGTATAGGTTTAGTTCTGTGCTTAGTCTTCTCTGCTCGTGTGTCCCTCTGTGTAAAGTCCATGTTTCTCAGTCCGCATCTTTGTGAATTGTTTCTGGTTTCCTGTTTTACTTTGAAAGTTCATGTCTCATGTCAGCGTGTTTTACTTCTCCCTTGTCTCATTAGCCTAATTTCTCCCAGCTGTGTCTTCCTCCTGTTTCTCATTCCCTGATTACTTCCCTGTGTATATAAGCCCTGTGTGCGCTGTTGGTGTACAGCATTATATACTAGCTAGTCCAACTTCAGTAACCCTACAAGTGTCACTGCTGTTTAGTTTTCTGTCTTTGTTTATGTTGGAAGTGATAGCAGAGCTGTACGTTTTAATTTTTTCAGAAATCCCTCAGTCAGAACATGCTGTATCATGTTTAGGTGGAAACTAGCGAGCTAACTTCCTGCTAACTTCTAACTCCATTAAATTTAGTAAATTTTGTTTTCATGGATGCCTGGATGTTAGACTTGTTACTATCACCTCAAGAATATTTCAAGGATAACAGATCTGATGTCTCAACAGGACCTGGAAAAACTAGTCCATGCATTCATCTTTAGTAGGCTTGATTACTGTAGCATCTTTACAGGTCTACCTAAAACATCAGTCAGACAACTACAGCTCATTCAGAACTCTGCTGCTCGAGTCCTCACTAAGACCAAAAAAGTGGACCACATCAGTCCAGCTCTGAGGTCTTTACACTGGCTGCCTGTCCGTCAGAGGATAGACTTTAAAGTTCTGATGCTGGTCTATAAAGCTCTGAATGGTTTAGGACCAAAATACATCAGTGACCTCCTGACTGAGTATGAACCTTCCAGATGCCTCAGGTCATCTGGATCCGGTCTTTTATCAGTTCCCAGAGTCAGAACCAGACACGGAGAAGCTGCATTCAGCTTTTATGCTCCTTATATCTGGAACAAACTCCCAGAAAGCCTCAGATCAGCTGAAACACTCAGTTTATTTAAATCCAGGTTGAAGACTCACCTATTCTCAGCTGCATTTGAATAAAGCACCAAATCCACACTTTTAAGCTTAAATTTCAAAACTTACACTAACTACTGATCTTATCTATTTCTGATTTTATCTGTTTTGATTTTATATACTGTTTTGTTTGTTTGTTTGTTTGTTTGTTTGTTTGTTTGTTAAGTGGGTTTAGAGCTCTGGGTAGCTCCCCAGCTGGGTCTAGACTGGGTCTAGAGAGTATTTTAAATTCAGGGAATTTAAAATAGAAAGTAGCTCGTCCACAGAAGGACTGGTAGCTCCCCTTACGATAAGGGTTCAGATCGCGCGAACAGGTGTGAAATGTGTGTAGTTAGTTAGTTAGTTAGTTAGTTAGTTAGTTTGCTTGTTTTAATCAATTTTAAATCATGCTTTTTATTTGTTTTTGTTTCTAATGTCTCTGTAAAGATCTTTGAATCACCTTGTTGTTGAATTGTGCTATACAAATAAATTTGCCTTGCCTTGTTACATCTGGTAAAGCAGCAATGCTGATCATTTTATTAAAGGTGAAAGAATTCAGACAGTAATGCTTCAGTGTTCGTTTGACTTTGGGACCTGAAGCAGACGGAGTTTTGGACACAGATTACTCCGCGAGGCTCCAACAATCCATCAAGCAGTGCAGCTTCGTAGCTTACCAAAGTCGTACCACAACATTTTTTGACAGATAAAATCAGTTCGAGGTCAGTAAACACAACTGGAATTCATACATAAGTAGGGATGGGTATCGTTTAGGTTTTATCCGATACCGGTGCCAAATCGGTACTTTTGAAACGGTGCCGGTGCTCAAACCGGTGCTTAAAGAATGGAGAACACATTTTTGGTCCAAAAACCTCTCATGTTCAGCTGGTTTTTGTAAAAAGATAACAATGTTAGCCTTTTCTGCAGCTATGGGGCATATATGGTATCACTCTTGGCTGGAAGCAGTGCTTAGACAATGGAAAAAACACAAACTTTGTCCTAAACCTCTCATGTTTAGCCGTTTCCCTCTTTTTCTTTGGTCATTTTAGCCTTTTTAGCCAGGGTGAAGGGAGTATCTGCCATCAAACAAGAAGACAGCCGCATGTAGCTATGATGATGTTTGCTAGTTCACCTTACCTGCATTAATGTAATAACATGGTTAGCCTACTCAACGTGAATTACACATGAACAACATTAAGCTACTCACGCAGAGAAGAACGGCTGCTGCTGCCATCATCATCCATCATCATTTCTGCTACACTGGCAGGGCTAGGGACCAGGAGTCTCCTCTTCGTGTTTTTGGGGATGTTGCTAACTCCGGGTCCGATAACAGGCACCACACCCGCAGTAGATGCGCTCGGTGTGAGGTCTCCCAGCAAGCTATCAAATACAGCGCATTTCTTGGCTTTTAAAAAAAAACGCTATGCGTCGCCAGGTGTTTCATCGGATTTGAGGTGTTACCTCCTTTGACAGTATCACAGTATCAGCTTAATAAAGCACTTGTTGCAGGCTGCTGAG